CCCTGACACCACAACGATGGTCTCCAGTTCTAGAGCCAGTCAGGAGACACCTCATCCCGGCCCCACCAGAACTATTCCTGTCCCCCGCCAGATGAGGCTCACCCAGGGCAGGGGGCAGCAGAGGTGGGGGGGCCAAATAGACATCCCTGCCAGAGCAGATCCCAAGACCAGAGGAGGGAGAGCCTAATGCTGGAAGGCCCCCAAAACCAAAGCAGAAGGAGAGAGGGGCCAGCAAGAGAGAAGCCTCAAGGCTGGAGTGGGACAGAGGAAGAACCGAAGGCAGGGAGACCAGCAGACCCCTCCAGCCAAACCAGCCAAGAAAGGCTCCCAGGCTGCCTGCCCACATCTCAGCTCAGTCTTGGTGGTTTGCATTCCCTCCCCACGTGTCCATGCTCTTCTCCACCTGCCGCAGGCAACCATGTGAGTGGACTACATGGTCACTCTCTCTCCATGCCCTGGCTCTGGGACTCTCTTCAGGGACTGGGACCAGTCTGGAGCACCCCAGTACAAGGCAGACACTGACACACTGGAGCAGGGACGAGGGCTAGGATGCAAGGCGGTGACCCTTCCCAGGGAGGGCTTCATGCACTTGGAAAGGGCTGTGGCCTGGGATATTCAGACCTTGATGGGGAGACAAACAGGGAGCCTGCAGGCCTGGAAGAGGACAGGGAGGCTGGATCTCCCGAGGACCCTGCTCATCCCCAGAGTTGTGCTGCCACAGGTCTTTCCTTCCCCAGTGGGCATCCCCTGGATCCAACCTTGTTGGACCACAACTGGCAGCTTTCCAGTCTCCATCCACTCCCAACGTATGGGGCTCTCTGCCTATGGCTGCCCCAAAACCAAAGCAACCCACTGCTCTCCTCCACATGCACCCTGGGGTCCTGGGCTCTCCTCCATGGGCACCCTAGTCCCCCTCTCCCAGCGGTGCAGCCCCTGGTGGGGTTGGTGGCCAAAGTGTCCCCCTTGTCCTCCCTGCCTGCCAGATCTCTGCAGGCAGGCCCAGTATGGGCTTGGACCCATTTCCCTGCAGCATGTTGAAAAGAGCACAGCAGGTTCTCAACGTCTTTATTAGTTTGTTGGTTTTTTTCCAACACAGTAAATCCTTTCTACAGCAACAGGTTAGTTAAATCCGGTTTACATATTGCCGTCTCATGAGTGCTGCGGCCTTGATGCCGCCGTGACAAAACCAGGTTGCACTCAGACAGGGAAATGCATTAAATTCCTCTGTGACTGGGAAAAAAGGAAACCCAACAAAAACCAAAAGAACAAACCACCAGGGAAAACCAAACTGACCAACAAAACCAAGGTGAGGAGCCGAAGGCGAGCACGGCCAGACCACCTCCAGGGGAACCACACGGCACTGCTTGGACGAGAATGCAAGGGGAAATTAATCCAAAAAGGTCAAAGACCGGACAAACCCTTATATATATTATGTATAGGTATTTATATATATTATCTGGAAAGACACGCTGAGAAAACGAGAGATCGCAGCGGTATCTACAGTAAAAAGGAGCTACGTAGCTTTCAGAGTCGCACGGAGAAGGAGGCACACGGCAGAACAAAGTGGGGGACAAATGGGGACACTGGTGTTCCGGGGTGGCCATTCAATATGGGAGGGGCTGGGCAGGGCATGGGTCTCAGGGCCAAAAGCCCTCGTACACCTGCTGGGACCCGTGTGCCCCTCGCTGGAGAGCAGGGACAGGGTCTGGGGGGTGAGTGCTTTTGGGGGGCTGGGTGGGACCTCCTCCCAGTGGGCTGGTTCTGCTCGCCCAGATGGTAGCACCCGGTGGGTCCCCTACAGGTCCCTGCTCGAGTTCCCCATGGACCACCCACAAAAATCTGAGCACCCATCGCCAGAGCCGGGGTGCAGGAGGAGCTGGGCTCTGATGCCCGCGGGGCGGGCCAGGGACGGCCGCAGGGGGGGGGGGGGCGACAGGGGGGGCACCT